ACACGTTTCCCAGGAAGGAGCTTTATGCCAAGCTAGTGATGGCGACCTGGAGCAGGGGGCGTCGGGAAGAATCAAGAGGCAGAGAGCGGCAGCTTGGTCCAGGAGGCCATCGTGGAGCATCGTCTGAATCACGCTGCAGTGTCTCCCACATCACATAACAGCACTGTGGTAAAGGCACAGCCCTACCCTAAACCAGCTGGCGCTCGCGGCCAGGTCCCAGCCTGGAGCAGTCCTGGGCTCGCCCCGCCGATCCTGCCCGCGGTCACTCCTGAGGCAGAGGCCCAGGCACCGTGGGCAGGGACGGGTCTCCTGGGAATCCTCCAAGGCCACTCGCTCTACCATATGGAAACCTGACGTGCAAACAGCTTCCAGCAAAATGAGGAGGGGGGAGCAGCGTGGGGCTGGGGTGTCAGACGAAGCAAGCAATTATTTTTGCAAAGGCTGTCAGGAAAGCCAGGGGAGGGGGCGGACAGCGGTGTGAGGGAAACATGCTAAGGGGAACCTGGAGCCCCGAAATTAAGGAAGAGAAGAACACAGGCTGCCCCCCCCACCCCTTCTCTCCTGGCTCCCACAGAGGACAGGCCCAGCGGCTGCTCCCACAGCCTCCCGCTGGCCAGGGTGGCCCGGAGCCAAAGCCGCACAACCAGCGGCCGTCAAGGACCTTGGACCTTGTACGACCCACGGCCGTGGCCAAACCCGGCCGTGCCGAGGGCAGCTTTGTACGCTTGTAGGAGACGGTGAGGATAAGGAGAAAAGGAAAGGCAACAGACACACCACATGGCCCGCAAAGTGGGTCCTCTCTGGAAAGGTCTGCTGGCCTGGCCTGCTCTGCAGCACCCCCACCCCTCCCCAGCTGATTCTGCATAAGGTTCCCCGGGGCAATGAAACACCCCATTTTCACAAAACTCCAAACTCCCCGTTGCCAGTAAATTCTTCTGAAAGACAAGCGCCCCCGGCCAGGTAACCGGCCGCCGTGCCCACGCTGGCGAGCCCCCGGGGATGGCCCAGGAGTGAGGCAGGAGCTGGCCCTGCGTGCCCAGCACTGTCGCCCTCGGGCCACGCCCAGCCGGCCCGCAGACACCACCTGGAGACTGTCATTCGCCCCAGTGCAGAAGCCCCAGGCAGTTACACCCACCATGAGTCGCCCCACGATCTCAGCGCCATAGACATCAGCAGGCACAGAGAAGAGGGCGATCAGGGCGGAACTGACCCTCCCAAGTGCCCGTGGGGACGCCCTAAGCCCCGGGATCTCAGAACCTGAATGCGTTTGGACACAGGCTCTTTAAAGGGCGATTAAGTTAAAATTAGGGTGCGCCCTAATCCAAACCCATCTGAGGACAGGACAGACACTTCATGGGGTGAATTCAGGGGAGGGCAGCCGCCCACAGGCCAAGGACAGAGGCCTCAGATGTGACCAACCCGCCAACACCTTGATTCTGGACTTCCAGCTTCCAGACTGAGAAAATACACTCCTGCTGCTCAAAGCCCCCCGTCTGTGGTATTTTATTGTAGGAGTCCCAGAAAACGAAGACAGATGTGTAGATTCTAGTCCAGTAAAAGCTGCATTTGCAAAACCTTGCCCCTGTTCCTCCGCCAGCTCACAGCCCAAGGCCTGGGTGCGGGCGGGCAGGCGTGTTCCCGCACAGGAAGGCCTGTGTGCGTTGCCGGGACGACCTCTCCAGCCCGGCCAGAAGGTCATCACCCGGTCAGCCCGGACACACGTGGCAGTTTAAGGTGCCACCTCAGGCCTCAGTGAAGCACTGCCAGGGAGATGCTAGCGCGGAGGCAGGAGGTCAGGTGGTCACCAGAGGCCGGGGGCTGACGCGACACACCCAGGCTCCCCTCGGCTCGAGCTGCCTACAAGGCAGCCTTCCACAAAGTCGAACCAGAATGCCAAAGAGGGAGCAGGCGCGTGAGGGAGAGAGAGCACGCCAGTGTCCCTGGGGAGAGGGTGCCCGCCTCCTGAGACGTCTGTCCTTGCAGGTCCCTGCCGGGTGGCGCTCACGGCAAACCCTGGCTTCTGAACAGGACGCGCACAGCCTGGCCGCCCAGCTTCAGCATCGAAGCTGAACGGGGCCGGACAGGAGGGACAAGCAGGTGCCCACGCGCTAGGCTCCTGTCCCCCGGAGCAGCGCAGGCCCATGGCCAGGCTCCCAGACACCCCGCCTGTCCGTCCCGCCTCCGGCAACCTCCTGAATGCCAAGTCCCCAGGGAGGGGCAGGGCCAGGGGAGCGCACGTCTGCCCCAGAGAAGGCTGCTGAACCCACAAGTGAACCCGCCGGCAGCGACAGCCCCGCAGCTTGCCACCCTTCCGCAGAAAACCCCAAACAGAACCCAGTTTCCAGATGTACCGGGACACACACAGGCACACTGCTTGCTGCTGGGGTTCAAATAATTGTCAATAAAAATCACCTCAAAGTTTAACGTCGTCACCCAAGAGGACGCAGGGCCCGATGTGGGGAGGGGTGTGCCGCCAGAGGGGCAGGGCGCTGTCCGATTTGAAGCCAAGAAAAGGACAGTGTTTAGGTTCGATATTTTTAAGACGCAATGCAATTTGTTTCCTTGAAGGAAAGCTAGATGAGAAAAAAATCTGGATGCAAACGCACTAAATGGACAGTCAGGGTTGGCTGGGCTGCTGGGGAGTGGGGGGGGGGGGAGACAGGACTGGGGGCCTCAGTCCGCTGCGGCCGCCACAACAAAGACCACAGACAAGATGTGTTTGTCACAGGCCCAGAGGCTGGGACACCCAGCCTCGTAACTGCCCTTTTCCCCTGTGGCTCCTGGGGCGAGGGTGAGGGGCTCTGGGGCCTCCCTACAGGGGTACGCCTCCCATTCCTCACAAAGCCCTCAACACCCCAACTCCTCCCAACCCAGACCTTCACCCCCAGCACAAAATCACTTAGACCCCAGCTGCCGCCATCTAGAGCAAGACCACAATGTTCATGAAACGCCAGCGTCTCCCTGGGCACCGTGAGCAGAACAGGAACCTGGGAGAGCTCAAGCCAGGCCCGCCCGAGAGCTTCCCCCAACCTCAAAGGTCTCTAAACCCCAAGAGCATCCAGGAACCAGCCCCGGGGGTTGTATTCCCCGTGGGTGCCCAGACTTCCAAGGCGCCGAGCTCAGCCCGCTCGCTCGGACGCTCCAGCAGAGACCAGGCGCCGTCCTGCCGGCTGTTAGGCAAACTCCTGCGAAACCGGGGGACCTGGACCCATCTAGGGGACCTCGACGCATCTAGGGGACCTCGACCCATCTCGTAGCGACGGTGGCCAGGCTGTTTCCACACTCTCCTGTCAGGGAGACATTAGCACTCGCTGGCGGTGGCGATTCTAAGTAATTCGTGTCTGTTTATAAGACCTTCAAAGGCCAATTCTCCTCCTCACATCAACAGCAAGAATTAATTTCTTTTCAAATGTCCCAGAACACATGTTGGCTGCCAGGCTACCTTTCTGCCGGCCAGGAAGGTTCTGGGCGTGAACAGTCACTGCCCCTTGCGGCCTTCCACGCTCCCGAGCCCTGCCCCCGCCGCTCCCAAGTCATTGCTCATTTTCTGCAAAGTCAATGCAAGGTGTCGCCCTGGCCGCGTCTGCAAATTCAAGGCAGTAGTAGAGCAAAAAGAGCAAAAGACCGGGGGAAAGCCCGTCCACGCATAACAACATGGCCAGTGATTAAATAATCACACCCAGCGAAAGCCCCGGCGTCGGGGCAGCTGATCCAATACACTTGACCCCCTCCTTGGCCCAGCACCAGCGAGCAGTGACCCAGTGTGATGGGAGGGCCCTCTATAAGGTGCCGTTCCGGGGGGCCCCGCTGAACTGGGTGGGAAGGGGACTCAGCAGGGCCCGGGAGGCAGAAACTGACACCACCATGCAGACACTTCACGAAAACAGACGGCACGAGGCACTATTCCTGAGCCGTGCAGGTGTGGGTGCGGAGGCTGGTCCTTCTGGACATGATGGTCAGTCTCTCGTGACCCCTGAGCCAAGCTCCCAGGACTCTCGCATCCTGATAGCTGGGTGACAGGAAGAGAACAGCAGCCTATCTCCGGCACAAGTCCAGCTGATGCCTCTGGGGGGGCTCCCAGCTCACCAGATTCCAGCAGGAGAAGAGGCCTTTGCCCCCACCCCCACCCCAAGGGTCCTTCCAGTGTCTTTCTGAGCAGAGAATCTGCACAGAGCAGATTCGGGGCTCACGGGGGGTCCTGCCACCTCTCGGACTGTTGAGGACCGGGGCTGGCGAGGACAAGCCCTCTCGACCTCTGTACCGACTGGATGCGAGTCCCCAGGCCTCAGCCCGTGGCGCCCAGCCAGCCCCTGGCCTGACCTGGACTCTGTTCAGCGGTCATGTCCACGTTCACGCTGCGCCTCTCTGTGAGCGAGCACAGGCGCGTTCCCCAGGCCCCACTCTCCAGCCCTCTGGTGCCCAACAAGCCTCAGATCTCTGACTTGCTCCCAACACTGGAGCTTGTTAGATTTCAGTTTGCACCTTCCGCTCCCAGAAGGGCATGATCCTCAAGTCACAGGAGGGCGGCCGGAGCTAGAGGGTGCGCACCACCAGCCCAGGTAGACATGAGCCCAGAGCGGCCCTTCTGTCCGCCGGACCCTCCTACTGAACCCTTGTGGCAGGGACGCTTTGTCAAGGGTCTGAAGTCACGGTTAAGCATGATGTCATCTCCCCAGCGACATCACAAGCTCTCTAGGGGTCAGGCCCACGGTCATGGGCGCTCCTCCCACTTGCTGGACCCTCGTGTCGACAGGGCGCGTGGCACGATGCCAGCTGCCGGCCATGCACCACGGAGTCCGACACGGAAGCTCTGAACTCACCAGGATGCAACTGCAGGGGCTTATTTTCTTTCAGGGACAACATCACAGTTCAATTCCTCTAGGGAGAGCCCTACCGGGCTCGAAATATCTACCTGCACATCCCCACAGAGACACGGTGCACCCGTGCAGCCTGGGCAGAAGTCGGTGCCCGGCACGGCAGCCAGAGGCAGCGGTACTCACCAGGTGAGGCAGCAGGAGGTCGGCCAGGTAGACGAAGGCAGCGCCGAGGGTGAAGCCAATGGCCACGGGGAAGAAGGCGAAGGCCCCGAAGCCCCCGGAGGACGTGGCCATCTCAACCGCTGGGGCCAGGAGAGACCAATAGGAAGCGGCTAGCATGACCTGGCAAACACAAAGAGCAGCAGGTCACTGACCGCCCCGAGAAGGGGTCGCCCCAATGGGGGCTGCCCCACAGCCCACGGCTCCTCCTGGCAAATACCGTCCCGAGCCAAAAGCCGCCGCGGAGTTCCTGGAGCGAACGCTGTAAGGACAGGGCTGGGGGCAGGACGGAGTGGACCTGGGGAGGGCGATGCTATTTCGCTGTCGGTCACGCTCTAACTCCCCAGGGTGCAAGTGGCTCTCCCCAGGGGCGGCTGTTCCTGCACGCGCTGCCTGGCAGGGCCACGCTGGGACGGGGAGGGGAGGGGGCTGCTAGCCGGGCCGCGAGGGGAACCCAGAGAGGCCGGGCACCACCTCCTGACGCACGGCCCCTGCCAGCTAAGAAACCTCCGGCCCCAGCGCCCCCTTGCTGCAGGAAACGCAGTCCTCGCTGAATGCTCCAGAGCAGGTTGCCCGGTCACTGTGGGCGCCGCCGTGACAGACAGCGCGGACGCCCACGGCACCCGCAGGCGTCGTGCTGAAACCAGCCTCCCCTCCCTTCCATTTCTGCCTCTCAGCTCTGGGTCGACACCCCGGAAGGCCAAAGTCTTGGTGCTACGTGACAGCCGCTGGCGTCTGCAAGCGCACGCGTGAGTCAATGTCAGCTGCGTCCCGTCACATTCTTATCTCTGAAGGGAAGAAGGGGACTGATACCCACTGGTCGGCCGCCTGCCATTTCCAGAGACATCTCATTTTCTCATCGCCACCACCCTGGCAGGCTGGCCAACGTTGTCTGCTAGTGCTGTTTGCAGATAAGGAAATTGAATCTGGAAGGCTATTTGCTCAAGCTCCCAGCGCCCGCAAGGGGCAGGTCCGGGGAGGGGCAGGAAAGACCATGTTAAGAGAAGAGCACTTGAGGCCCCACGCAAATCTTGGTGAGGCCAGCTGAGTGCAAGAGTGTCCAGCGTTGGCCGAATCACACCCGACCACCGTCCCTGCGCTCGGGGTGCCGTGACGTCGTCTTGACTGACACCCACTGCCTGTATCACCCCACGCCCGTCACCAGTGACCGGTGTATTCCCAGACAGAGCCATTCAACTTTGTTGCCTAACTGAGTTCTCCGTTACCCTCAAGAATGAAGGGGCGCAATGGGGGTGAAGAAATCAGAAGAACACATAATTAGGAAGTGACTCAACACTTAGCACTTTTTTCACCTAAATTGTAAAACGACTTTGCCTTACAGGCTGAGTACCAGGCAGGCTCCCCTCACATGCCCTCGGCCTTAGACAGTCGCTGGGTGAGCAGCTGTTCAAAATAATGGGACTTTTCCTGGTGTCAGAAGTTGCCTTTCGGAGCGTCAAGAAAAATCCACTGAGTGCAGTCTACTGATCGAGTTGAAAGGGATTTTAGGTGGCTACCTAATCCAAACGCTTCATCTAACGGATGGGAAAACTGAGACCCCAGGAGACTCAGTGGCTTCACCAAAGCCCCAGAGCCAGCCACGGCCACGGAGCTGGCACCCCCCGGTCAAGTCCGGACCACCTTCACCCCACACCCGGCCCAGAGTCTTTTAAGAAACTCCAAATGCTACAGGGTGAAGACGAGGTTTATGCTGCTCCCCACTTTTCGTCAGGCAAAGAAGCATCCAGAACCACAGCCTGGGGTACAGCAGCAAGCCTATACCCCAATGTAACCAATCCCCTGGAACTCCCCCATCATGATGACAGCAGCTATTGCAGAAAATGCAGCACGAAGAAGTATTTAGCGACTAATAAGCGGTGATAACGATCTTATTAAGCACGTTCCTCAGGAAGATGTGTCGGAGCCTACAAACCGAAGCCCAGATTTCGCCCCGGCCACCTTCCCGGCGGGAAACAAGCGTCCGTAACTCAGCGCGGGACGCTGGCAGCCAAGCAGCTGCGCGTGGGCCCTGCACCTTGGGCTCAGGCTCGGGCGGAAGGCCGCCTCCCTCCCGCACGCACACCCCTGGAAACAGGAGCAGCGCCTACGCCGCCGGACTGCACCGGGGACAGAGGACGGAACCAGAGGGAAAGCTGGGGAAATCTCGGAACCTCTGAGTCGCTCGCACACACGGAACTTTTAAACCGAGTGGCTGCCGCTGAGGACTGGGCTACGGCAGAGCCTGCCTGCGAGGTCCGCATGCAGGAAGCTGAGCCCTGAGGACAGGAGCACCGTCGTCGCAGCCACATGGCTGGTTGGTCCGGGGCCGCCCGAGGCGGGAGTGGGGGAGCTGTGCTTTGGCGGGGGAAGCCAGCAGAAGGCTTCTTTTCTGTTAAAGGCCCTGACTTTTAAATTACCCAAGCCTATGTATTTGGGGGAGGTGTTTTTTTTTTTTTTTAAGATTTATTTATTTGTACATACAGAACTGGGGTACAGGCCAGAGGCTCAGGGGCGGTGAGAGGCTTCACCAGAGACAGAGTGGGGAGCAAAACAGGCAGATCGACGAAGTACACTGCGGAGGGGAGCAGCGGGCGGGTCAGGAGAGGTCTGCCGCGCCATGTGGTCACCTCCGGGGCAGGTGGGAATCGAACTCATGAGGAAGTGGCTTTGGCTTCTTAGTGCAGTGCTTTAACCCGCTGCGCCACCAGGGAGGGCCTGGGGGAGTTTTTTAAATAGGCTGATAATATGATTTTGAAAATCTACAAATATTATGCCGAAATGTGCAATTTCTGAATGTTTCAATGGAAGACTCTGACTTCACGGTGAGAATCCCACAGAGGCCAGGGTCCTCCCTACAAAAATGCCAGTTCAGAAATGTGTCCACCCGATGGCGAGGTGCATGCCTAGACTGCTGGTCTCTGTGGGGAGTACCGAGAAGAACAACAGGCCCTGGAGGAAATGTTTAAAGTCAGCAGACATCTGTCAGCTCTTTACTCACCTGACAGTAAAGCGCCCCGTTTCCCTTCCTCAGCTCCCCAAACCTGGCAAAACTCCGAAATTCTTTTTCTCAAAATATCACGCAAAATGCCACAGGGACCCATATATTAAAATACTATTAATTTCCCTCTGGTGTCAGAGGTACCAGCATAGAGTAATCAAACCTAGCCAGCTAAACACCTAGTCGCAGCAGGCAAAGCTTCTCATTTATGCTGAAGTGTTCATCTGGGGACAATTTCAGCCCTGCAAATATAAATGAATTTGTGAAGAGCTCCTTAAGGAATGCATCAGAATATCCTGGCATGATGGGTGCAGTTAAGCAGTTTTTTTTGTTATAGTAATGACAGTGTAAAGACTGGAAGAAAATCCAAGCCACAAAACAATTTCCCCCTCAATAAAGGGGGGAGGAAATTCTTGCACACAACGCAGTGACCTGTACCAAGTAGCAGCAATATTTACTCCGTGAGCCTCTAAAACGGTACACACAGAATTCAAGCAACAATAACCAACGGGGGCCACTAGAGGGGACCCTCCTTAAATGTCTTTTGCAGCAAGTGAACATGGACTTGAACGTCAAGGACCGGAGGTCTCCCATGGGCCTTGAAGAATCAAGGCCCAGGCAAATTTGCAAAACAAATCGGAGCAATCTTCTTCCCAATGTTCACCAGTCATGTCTCTAACATCTACCTTCAAGTCAGATGACATCAGCTTTTACAAAATCACTCAGCAAACGCCTAATCGGTGACTAGCATTGGACCCGTATCATCTTTGGCCCTGGGGGTGCTGGGAGGAAGGAGATATAAAAGCCAATCTGATTTCTGTCTTCGAGGAGTTAGCCGCGAACCATAAGAGAGTACAGGTCCCATCTGAAACAATCAAGAAGGCATCTGAAAACAATAAATGGGGGGGGGGGGGCTGGCGCCATTCCAAGAAATGAGATGGCAGAGTTGTAAAGAGGCCTAATGTCAAGAAAAGGTGGTGACGGGCTCCTGGAAGCCAGAGGTGGCTGGGAAAGGAAACCAAGGGCGGGCTTGCTCGCCGGGGAGGCCGGCGGGCACGGTCTGGGAGACGGGCGTGCTGTGCTGGGCCTGGCGGGGAGACAGGATACGTGTTGGGCGCCACGAGGTGGCTGGGTGTAATTAAGAGGCCTGGCACGATGACTTGGATTTGAGACGATGGGCTGGCTGATGCCAACTCCGGTTCTGCACTAGAATCTCCTGGAATTTTCAACTACAGGGGCCAAGGCCGCCCCGCAATCTACGAACCCACAGGAGGGCTGCTGGCTGCCGAAGTAACCTACAGGGGAGGCGGGGAGGCCGGACTCGAATGGAGGCAGAGGGCTGGGGAGGGAAGGGACCCGCATGCGTCCTCCAGAATGAGGGCGCCACGGCCATCCATATCGAGTCACCCTCCAGAAGCCCCGAAGGGGGGCCGGTGAGTTTTGCATCAGTCAGCTACCACGTTTGGCACGTCAGATATATGACCTGAGCATGAAGCAAATTCATGTGGCAGCTACACCTGCACCGAATTTCCTTTTCCCCAAAGGCCCTCACACTATGCCAGCTCCAGGTAATTTTCCAGGATTTAACCTAATAGCTCAACATCATCATCATCATTTACCTTCGGCTTCAATTACAGCTACTGCCCGAGGCAGCCTTGCAGGAGAGGCCTGGGCCTAGGAGTTACCAGCGCCCAGCGGGCAGGATGGGCCGAGTCTGGATGATGTCTCCACACTCGGAAGAGAAACTCTCTGCCCCAGTATCCCTCTCCTCGACAGCTACCCAAAGGGCAGTGAAAACCGAGGCCCACACAGAGACTCAGGCGAGAGCATTCGCAGTAGCCTTAATCCCAGCCCGAGGCTGGAAACAACCCAAGTGTCCATCGACCGGGCAAAAAGGATGCAGTAGTAGGTTCCTTAGCAATGCAAAGGAAGAAGCACAGAAATAGCTAGCACAGCCTGGATGGGTCCCCAAGTCATCATAGTGAGGGGAAACTCAGACAACATAAGGTAAATTTATATGAGCGATGCGCGTACGTGTGCACAATTCGATTCCACAAAGCACAGAATACACAAAAAGTCATTTCTAAATTGGGGCCGTACAGCGGCTGCCTGGGAAGAGAGGGAA